GTACTGAGTGACCCCTTGTATACATGTTTATGTGTGGTGTGTGTGAGAGAGAGAGAGAGATAATATGTGTCAGTATCAACTCTGACCCCTAACATATGTGTTTATAGTTATGTGTGAGAGGATATAAAATATTGTGTGGGTACATACTGTGACCTTTATAGGGATTTAATCCCCTCAGCTCTGTGGATAAGACCTCCAACTGTTTCTTTGGGAATTAATCTCCTTTATCAGCCCCAGTTCTCTGCTGACAAACTCTCAATACACACCTGTATTACAGCCAAGACTAATCTACATAAATATGCTGCAGTCAGGTTTATAATACCCTACAAGTCATGGTTTTCTAAATTCATGACATTTTTGTTGGGCTGGCAGTGTGTATCAGCAGGGGTTATTTACTGCTGCAGAATAATACAAACACAGAGAAACTAGCTAATAAGTAATTCTGATGTTAGAACTGACACATAACTTAGAGTCATTGTATCCAAACACACACACACACTCATACACATATAACAAGTGCTAATTGTAACGGAGACCGTTACAGATGTTCCCCAAACGCTCCCCATGTCCCTTATCGTGCCTTATTCCTCTAAGACCTTTTATAAATATGCTAAGTATCCCAAGATTTCATTTAAGAATATAAACGTTACATGTACATGCATATGCAAGATGATTATGGCATTTTGATTAAGCGATTAACATATCTTTCTACCCCACGAATCAAAGAAAAAGATACATACATGTATATAAATTTACCATTTTTTAAGCATATGTCATATTTTTAATATATCGATTCGCATTTTATTTCTCTACTTATTTTAACCTCGGGCTCAAAGTTGGTTTTATTCCGACTACAAGGCAGTGTTAAAGTCAACTAAGGGTATCACGCCAATACCTAACCAATCAAAATGAACTTATTCAATAGTAGTTCCATACATGGAAAAGGGATTTTCCTTTCTGTTCAGAATTTTTTTTAATATTTCCTCTCAGGCCATTTTGACAACTCTGATACCTGTGCCTGGTAAATTTTATATACTTTGTAAATAAATATATAAAGGTTTTTTGACCGCAACTATTCATTTTTTCCAATGCATAGGGGGCTACTCTCTGGGTTTTACATGAGATGTTTAAAAAGACATTTGTGTCAGCTAATGTGACCTATATTGTTTAACACCTTCTTATTAATATTTTTTTCATGAATGCAAATATCTGATTATTTTACGAAGGAGCGTACATGTATACTGATTTTTAATATACCGAAAATCGCTATTTCTGGGGATTGCGTAATTCTAAAAAAAAATTCAAATAAATTTCAAAGGTAAATTAAACAAAGGATGCTTGGTATTAAAATTTTATTTCAAATCAGTAGAATCGAATGCTATTAACGACATCTGAATAAATAGGCTATAAAAGGCTTATATGCCAACTTTGGTCATCTGGACTTTAATTTTAAACACGACAGGATTTGTAATTTTTTCTGTATAAATTAATAATTTCTATATACTTTGGAAACTCAAATGACATATTTTAATACACTTTCCTCGAGCTCTTTTCTGCAGTTTTCCTGAAATTTTATGTGGGTCCGAGGTGTTATTTGAGTTTAACAGTGATTCTCTACGTTGCCATTTATTTGATTTGTTTGTGTGTGTGTGTGGGGGGGGGGGGGGGTGGGGGTGGGGGTTATTTTTATTCTTAACCTATTTAACGTTGGAGTTGAATCTTGTATCTTATTCCAAGATCTGAAGATTGATTGTGACATTTGGATGAAAGGTCAAGGTCATTAAAAACCACCACCTCTTTAACTTCTAACCTGTCAACCGAAATAAACTCTGAAAGGTGTTTCTAGATACATGTACATGTACTTCATGTTTCTTTTTACCCTTGGGTCAAGGACAAAGGTTAAGGTCGATTTCAAGTTCATAGGTCAAGGTGATTTTGGTAAATAGTTAATATCAACATTTTTTTCACAGGTTACCAGTGACCTTGACCTAAGTTTCAAGGTCAAGGGTAAAAAGATCTGCATGCTTCAGTATGTTACATGTCTTGACATTTAGAAGTTCTTAATTCTGCATGAACATCAAACACTCAAGTAAACTGTCTTTTAATACATTGTGTGCGGTCGCATGTGCATGCACGTCCATGTATTTACTTTTGATAGTAGTATAATGTAGGCAATCATTATATCTATTCATATTTGAAATTTCACCCTGTATTATTGAGAACCAAGAAAGTTGTAGGCATTTAAAGTTTTAGCCAATCAGATTGCAGCACACGTGCATGTGCGTGCGTTCATGATTATTCTTATATATCATGCTGTAGATCTCCATAATGTAAGACTATGTTCAAAATTTCAAAGGATTTTGTCAGAAAACAAAATAGATATTTAGACTTTAAGTTTCAGCCAATCGCAGCGAAGGGCACCTGCATGCGCGTGAGATCTTGCTATTTTGACCATGTCATCATGTCTATACTACTATTATATCCTTATATAATGAGTTTCAAAGCATTTCATCCAATATTTAAAAAGTTACGGCTAAATCTATCATATTGGTCATTTCACGTGTTACACGTGCGCGCACCTGCACGCACGTGCGCGCAAAATGACCTTCGTTCCGCACATCTACATAACATACCTAGTGACCCTAAAAAGGTTTCACCTAGATCGGATGAGTAGTTTACGAGAACACTCGCGGACAAAAAAGTACCGGAGAACAAAGAAAAAATTCAGAAAAAGTAAAAACAATATGTTCCCAAACTTCGTTTGGGGAACATAATAAGGAGACTAATTGTTCAGATTACAATTTTGATTTTAATTCAGATAACAATATGAAGTCTTTTCACCTTCTTGAGTGTTTTCATATCATTTGGCTTCAAGAAAAGAAGTAAAAAGCAAAAAAATTAATAAAACAGCAAAATTCTAATTTTCTACTACCGTGTTTTTAAGATCGGGCTCGGGGTTGGTTATATTCAATAGTAGTTCCATACATGGAAAAGGGATTTTCCTTTCTGTTCAGAATTTTTTTTAATATTTCCTCTCAGGCCATTTTGACAACTCTGATACCTGTGCCTGGTAAATTTTATATACTTTGTAAATAAATATATAAAGGTTTTTTGACCGGAACTATTCATTTTTTCCAATGCATAGGGGGCTACTCTCTGGGTTTTACATGAGATGTTTAAAAAGACATTTGTGTCAGCTAATGTGACCTATATTGTTTAACACCTTCTTATTAATATTTTTTTCATGAATGCAAATATCTGATTATTTTACGAAGGAGCGTACATGTATACTGATTTTTAATATACCGAAAATCGCTATTTCTGGGGATTGCGTAATTCTAAAAAAAAATTCAAATAAATTTCAAAGGTAAATTAAACAAAGGATGCTTGGTATTAAAATTTTATTTCAAATCAGTAGAATCGAATGCTATTAACGACATCTGAATAAATAGGCTATAAAAGGCTTATATGCCAACTTTGGTCATCTGGACTTTAATTTTAAACACGACAGGATTTGTAATTTTTTCTGTATAAATTAATAATTTCTATATACTTTGGAAACTCAAATGACATATTTTAATACACTTTCCTCGAGCTCTTTTCTGCAGTTTTCCTGAAATTTTATGTGGGTCCGAGGTGTTATTTGAGTTTAACAGTGATTCTCTACGTTGCCATTTATTTGATTTGTTTGTTTGTGTGGGGGGGGGGGGATGGGGGGTTATTTTTATTCTTAACCTATTTAACGTTGGAGTTGAATCTTGTATCTTATTCCAAGATCTGAAGATTGATTGTGACATTTGGATGAAAGGTCAAGGTCATTAAAAACCACCACCTCTTTAACTTCTAACCTGTCAACCGAAATAAACTCTGAAAGGTGTTTCTAGATACATGTACATGTACTTCATGTTTCTTTTTACCCTTGGGTCAAGGACAAAGGTTAAGGTCGATTTCAAGTTCATAGGTCAAGGTGATTTTGGTAAATAGTTAATATCAACATTTTTTTCACAGGTTACCAGTGACCTTGACCTAAGTTTCAAGGTCAAGGGTAAAAAGATCTGCATGCTTCAGTATGTTACATGTCTTGACATTTAGAAGTTCTTAATTCTGCATGAACATCAAACACTCAAGTAAACTGTCTTTTAATACATTGTGTGCGGTCGCATGTGCATGCACGTCCATGTATTTACTTTTGATAGTAGTATAATGTAGGCAATCATTATATCTATTCATATTTGAAATTTCACCCTGTATTATTGAGAACCAAGAAAGTTGTAGGCATTTAAAGTTTTAGCCAATCAGATTGCAGCACACGTGCATGTGCGTGCGTTCATGATTATTCTTATATATCATGCTGTAGATCTCCATAATGTAAGACTATGTTCAAAATTTCAAAGGATTTTGTCAGAAAACAAAATAGATATTTAGACTTTAAGTTTCAGCCAATCGCAGCGAAGGGCACCTGCATGCGCGTGAGATCTTGCTATTTTGACCATGTCATCATGTCTATACTACTATTATATCCTTATATTATGAGTTTCAAAGCATTTCATCCAATATTTAAAAAGTTACGGCTAAATCTATCATATTGGTCATTTCACGTGTTACACGTGCGCGCACCTGCACGCACGTGCGCGCAAAATGACCTTCGTTCCGCACATCTACATAACATACCTAGTGACCCTAAAAAGGTTTCACCTAGATCGGATGAGTAGTTTACGAGAACACTCGCGGACAAAAAAGTACCGGAGAACAAAGAAAAAATTCAGAAAAAGTAAAAACAATATGTTCCCAAACTTCGTTTGGGGAACATAACTAACCCAGGGTATAAGGAGAGTAAATAACGAGCCAAAGGTCTTGAAAGTCATATCACTAACTTATGATCATCAGTTCTCTTGCCAAAAACAAACAAAAAACCTTGTCAGATTCCAAGAAAAAATTGTAAGGAGTCAGATTTATTTTCTATTAATAGGGTAAAGATCACCCAGAGGATGATAAAACAGTTAACAAAGACAACTCAAGTAATACGTCAGTGAAGAAGGAAAAAGTCAGAGAGGCTCCGAAGGTGCGAGCTACCAGTCCCGAACCAATGGAGGTAGAGCAGGACATCAAGAAAGAGAAGGCAGAAAAACCATCGGACAACTCCGCATCGTCCAAGATAAAGAAACCTAAAAAGCAGAAGGAGCCCCCGCCAAAGACAGAGTCTTCCTCACCCCCGGGGCCCAGCCCCACCCCGGTCCACCCGCCAGTGGTACCCACCAGTCATTCACAACCCTCAGGTTAGCTTCAACCCTGACGTCTTGTGTGTTTTATGACAGCTTCAGCTTTCTATTTATATTGGCCTAATCATGTATTTATATAGGCTAAAAATATAGAACAATACTGTCATATATAGAGATCGGAATTCTTGACATTTGACCTTGTATGTTTGTACAGGTGGGGCCTCTTACAACAAGCCTCCAGTCTCCCTGTTGAAGAAGACGTGTGAGCCGTTCTTACAGGACGATTCTTGTAGTGAGGTCACCCCTAAACTGATGAAATGTCGGGAATGTAAGATGACGCCCACCCAGCGCAGCAAGAAGCTTCCCAACATCTTCTGTAGATTTTATGCCTTCAGAAGGTAGGTCTTGTCAAACTTGCAAATTTTCTCATCCAAGTCCCTAACTAGCGGGACAGGCCCATAGTATCAAAGTTATATTCATTCTGATTATAGTCCTACAATATCCAGAGCGATCTACGATAATCTGTAGAGTACATTAGAGTACAGTCTTAATATCAGCAATGTCACGTAGCAGATTTTCAGCCTTTGTGAATACAGTCTCACAATAGCAACATAGTACAGTATATCTGTACCCTGCAGTATCACCTTTTAAAATGTGTAATGGTTTAGCTCCTAATGCAAGGTGGCAACAAAGGAGATACTATTCAGGTTCTGTCCTATGATTTAGTATTTGTATATATCCTTTGTGTTGTGGGTTAGACTTGTCCTTGAACTGTATGGAAGGAAACTAGAGTGTTCATGTTAAGGTGATCCTAATGTTGCTGCTATGGAGGGCATGTTTACATGATAACTTCCCTGTGGTGTAGTAACATTATAAAGGGGCTATTGACAATCTGGAGTAAATACTTAATGTTGGCTGATTACTTCTTCTTAGAGAAAGCCAGGACATGACTCCAGAATTCCCCCACATCACCTGTCTAAAGAGAATGCATTTGCTTTACACATCAGATGCAGGCAGAAAGCAGCATACACGAGCTCTGATAGGCTTTTCTTTGTTTCTCTTTGTTTTCTGAACTCGGATTAGCTGTTCAAAATCCCAAACATCTGCCTCTCATTGAGGGTTAAACCACTGCCAGAATACTTGTAAAAATAGCTGCTGTTGAGGCAGCTATAATATCCTGCCAGAACTCCAGAGAGGGGGAGCCTGATAAGACATGTTTATTGTAGGCAAAGATTGGGAGAAATTCCACTCAGCCAAACACTGTTATCAAGTTTGTAGAGTAAGATTAGGGAGTCATGCTTAGTGAAGGTTAGCATATGAACAGAAGGGGGTGATTGATACACAATTCAGGGATATAAAATCATCTTATACAGAAAAATTTCCTTGTAAGATAGCGTTTTGTTTGACAAAAAAGAATGACAGGCCCATAAATCAAAACACCGGTGTGAGGCAGCGGTTAACAAGGTCAGATGTGTAGATAAACAAAATGGCAGAGGTCACTGTGTAGAACAGAGGCTGCCTTTGTTGTCAGTGGGGATAAAGAGGGAGTGTGTTTATAGAGTCTAGTGCATACAGAATCCAATCCCACTGATCTCGCTGGAAATTGATGTAATAGATTCTCCTGGTGGCAATGCACTTAATTAATAGGCACCATGTAAAGGCCCACCGCTACATGATCATTAGAGCATTTTAAAAAAGCACTAGCAATTTGTTACAGTGGGGAATGAAAGTTTTGAACAGAAAGAAGGGGTTTCCTGTTACCAGACATAAAGTATGCCCTGACTACTTTCCTTTCATTGGTTTGTAAATCAAGTGATCTATTATTAATCTTCAATCAGAAGAAAGTCGTGAGGGGTTGTGCACTTTATACTGCTGTTCTCCTGGCTTGGCAAACAGCAGGCATCCATCATGGGCTGTTTACATGGCTTATTCTGGGAAACCAGTTAC